TTGTTGGGGTTGATAGGCGCTAGACACCTTCCGCGCGCAAGACTTCACTGGACCCTTGACATTTTTGTTGGGTTTCGTTTTGTCTTGTTCCTTCTTTGCATAAGAGACCACCTGGTACGGGGGCTGCGGGATGAGATTGCAGTGAGGCTTGCCGAAGCCCGGGGCCCTAGAGTTTGAAAGCCCTGGTCAAGACCGAAGCCCTGAACCCCAGTTATCAACTCCGAGCCTCAAGAACTTCATGACCTTCTCCTTTGTGTCGGACATTCTGAATGCCATGAGACTCACAAGTGCACCCTTTTCAAGCGTTTGTGGATGCACTGTACGGCTTAGGGCTTAGGGTTCAGCTTTGAACATTTAGGTTCACGGATGTTTCGGGGACCAACAGGCCACATAAACATAAGATCCTATCACCGGGGATCTGCGCCCACCATCATCCAGGCTTTCCAGGAAGGAGCTATCTCATCTACATGCGAGCATGGGCATCTCTTGTTAGTGTGTCGGGCTCATGTTGGGGGTATCATGACTGCACAGTGGGGATTCTGTAGGTGTCGTGCCTTAGTTGCATCACCACCAGGCAGGGGATTCTTGGCGGGAAAAATCGTAGGATCTTTATGTGGTAATTAAAACACAAGCCAACAACATGTTGTAGGTCTTTATGTGGGTGCCAAAAGCCAAGGGAATGCTGAAGGAAAACGCAAACCCACATAAGGATCCCACAAAAAAACTCAGGATTCCGCAGCTGGTTTCGGTGGCTCTGGTGCCCCAAGATACGACCGTTCTCTTTGTGTGGAAATTTCTTTACCTGTCCAATTTCTTCCTAATGTTTGTGATCGTCCATTGCCCAACGGGCAGAAGTGTGCTAGGCATGTGGAAACTCCCCCCCTCTCCCCACCCACTCCCGTCCCCACAGACTCTGCAAGACCAAGCAGTACCAGTTCAGAGTTAGGTTCAGTACGGACCTCTCTAAACCCTTTACCCTTTGCCCTAAACCCTGAACCCTACACATCTAGAAACTTGAAAGTTGCAAAGGCCGGTGGCTTTTTCATCCCTAAAACACCAACCCCAGAGAGTCCCTGGAGTTCCCAACCCCAGAGGCTCCCTGGAGTGCCCCAACTCCCTGGAGTGCCCAACCTCAGACTCCCTGGAGTGCCCAACCCCAGAGAGGGACTCCTTGGAGTGCCAAACCGCAGAGACTCCTGAAATGCCCAACCCCAGAGGCTCCCTGGAGTGCCCAACGCCAGAGACTCCCTGGAGTGCCCAACCCCAGAGATTTTCTGAAGGTGGGGATGTTCGAAGTAAGATCATTTCTTGCAGCACATCTAAGGGCGGTATCCCTACACCCTGAAACCCTAGTATAGGGGTCAGAATAATTTCTGGTACTCTTCCCTTATGCTCTATATTTATTTATGGTCTCTCTCTCTCTCTCTCTCTATGCTAAAATGGCCATCCCAAAACCCTATTCTAATAATGAAGGCCCCTGTATTCAACCCTAAACCCCGAAACCCAAGTGCCTCTTCCTTGACTCGTCTCTAGGCAGGCTCCTACCTTGGCAGACTGGTCTGGAGCTGCTCGCGCGGTGGCTGCAATAGCATAGCACTACCCCAATAAACGACGGCTTGGAGGATTTGGGGGGCTTAGGGTTTAGGAGCTTCAGAAGCTTAGGATAAGGGAGCTTTAGGGGGTTGAGGGGGCTTTACTCTAGGTGGGCCGAGGGTTGATAGGAGTGTGAGGGTTTCGTTGGGGTTGGGGAGTTGAGGGGCTCTGGGCTCGGAAAACAAAAAAGCCATTGGGCCTTTTGAAGCTCTAAACCCTAAACCCCCAACGCCCAAACCCCAAAGTCTTCCACCCTCTAAGAATCCCCCTAAGGCCCGAACATGCTAAGCCCTAAACAACTGCGATTCATCTGGCGCTGCCTGCCTGAACGTGTGGGCTGCTGGTGTAATTGGGTATCGCTTAACATGCGAGATCATCTGGGCCCGACATCTCTTATCTTTCCAAGTATATGCCCTTTGCGCCCTAAACCATAAACCCTAAACCGCTAAATAAGTCAAAGCCGCAAAGCCGCAGAACCCCTAAACCCCCCTCAACCCATAAAGGCCTCTAAAGCCCTGCAACCATGCAAGCCCTAAAACACCCCCGAAGCCCCCGAACAACCCCAAACCGTAAACCCCAAACCCTAAATGCCCCTAAATACAGCTAATCCCTTAATACCCCGAAATGCCCCTAAATGCCCCTAAATGCCCCTAAACCCTAAACCCTAAACCCTAAACCCTAAACCCTAAACCCTAAACCCTAAACCCTAAACCCTAAACCCTAAACCCTAAACCCTAAACCCTAGGCGCAGCTCCGGCAGCCATCGGTGCCGGCCTTGGCGGACGCCTGCGCCGGCCTTGGCGGCTGCGAGGCGAGGGGTTTAGGGTTTAGGGTTTAGGGTTTAGGGTTTAGGGTTTACGGTTTACGGTTTACGGGTTTAGGGATTCAGGGTTTCGGGATTTAGGGATTTCGGATTTAGGGTTTAGGGTTCAGGATGTAGGAGGGCTTCAGGGTGCTTCGGGTTCGGGGCTTAGCAGGTGGCTTTTCAACGTTGTCAGTGCTTCAAACTTACAGGAGCCTTAGGGCCCATTCGGGTTTAGGGTTTGGGGTTTAGGGTTCAGGGTTTAGGGTTCAGGGTTTAGGGTTTGCAAGAGGACGATAGAAGGGACCCTTATAAGGGACCTGGACATTTGGGGGTTACTTCGGGGCGACCTAGGTATATAGGGACTATATAAGGGGGGGTTCTATATGGGTCATACAGGGGAGTAAGATTAAGGGTCCATTCTAGGGCTCCCTCCTTCTACCCCCTCAAGGTGTAGGTTGAGGGGTGTTAGGGTCGCAGTTTTGCAGCGAACCGCACCAGCACAACTTCCTCAAGGCTACATCCCCTCATTTCTGGAACCCTAGAAGCCCTATAAGCCCTAACCCTAAACCCCAAACCCGAACTTCCGGAGCCCTGGTAAACACTAGGCCCCCAAAGTACCCCAAATCCCCAGATTTCCCAAAATTCATGAACCTCTAATACTGAGTTACTGAGTTCCTGTTCCGAACGCCCCCAAAACCCCGAAATCCCCCCTTCGCAGGCGCCACTGGCGCCACTTCTTGACTCCTTGCCGCAAGCATCAAAGCCCGAACCCGCTTGAGAAGGTTTTTACCTTCCCTCAAGGCCGCCCACGGCCGCATATAGGGTTGGTTGGCGCAGTTGTAGAGGCCATGGCCTGTAACTGTGTAGGGTTTACTGCAGGGTTTCGGCTCGTATGCTGAGCCGAAACCCAAAACTCCCTTAAAGGAACTACGTGAGAGGCACGGGCTGCTTGGCCTCCCGGACCAGCCCTGACAGCGTAATATAGGGGCTCGGATTAAAGATAAGACTAGTATTCCCTTGTATGGTTCCTTTATCATGATACTACAAGAATAACTTCCAAAACCCTATCCTAATTATCAAGGCCCCGATAGTATCTCCCAGTGCTTGGCATGTTTTGGGTATAGAGCTAGAAGAGGGAAAGCCTTAGGGAGCTCCTACCTTAAGGACCAAGTGAACCCCTGAAAGGGTTTGTGGTTCACATACCCTAATAGGAATTATAGTAGTAGAGGGTATATGATCCCAATTTTAGGCTTCATTGTGGTCCTGAAGGTAGGACAGGGTATCTTAATCCCTAATGCTGAAACCCTAAACCCTAAACCCTAAACCCTAAACCCTAAACCCTAAACCCTAAACCCTAAACCCTAAACCCTAAACCCAAAACACCCTTAGCTCAACCGGAGGACCAGACAGCAGCGATCGCCACGGACGATTTGTGCCAAGTGGGCTCACGCCAGAAAAGGAGATTTGGGGTGTAGAGGGCTCAGGGTTTAGGGTGTTTGGTTTTTAGGGTTTCGGGTTCAGGGCATATAGAGGGCTCAGGGTTTAGGGTGTTAGGTTTTGAGGGTTTAGGGTTTCGGGTTCAGGGCATAGATGGTTCAGGGCTGAGAGGGGCTCTTGGGTTTTGAGGTGAAGGGCGTTTGGGTGTTTGGGTCTAGTTGAGGTCTCACGTGATGTGTTGTTCTTCTCCACCAGGGGCTGTAGCCTAGTACCCTCAAAGGAAAATAAGCAGAGACGTCAGCCAGGCTCTAGATGACCCTACATCCTAAACCCTGAGCTTTCGGGGTCTGAGTGTTCTTCGATGCGCAGAACCCCTTCCGGATTGCGCTGGATCGTGCCATTTCGTTTCCAAGCATGACCCCGAAACCCCAAACCCTAAGCTCTATCTAAATAGGAGCCCTCCATCGGAACCCCACACCCGCGAACCGGCAAATCCTCACCCAGGAGCCCTAAATTCCTCAAGCCCTACTTGGAGGTTCATGGGTTCTTCTAACCCCAATTATACGTCTACGTAGAACCTACTTAGAGGACTTAAGGGGGCTTAGAAGTACAGTTCTAGTTGGGCTTTCTAAGTACCACGAACCTCCAAGTGGAGTCCTTGCATGGCACCGCGGAGCACTGTTCGGGTTGAGGGTACAGGTCTGAAGCCAAGGGCACAGGCTTTCAAGCTCACGTCTTAAGAAAGGCTCAACCCCAAACACTAAACCCTAAACCCTAAGCCCTGTAATAGCTGCGTTCGGCAGAAGGGCTTTTGAGGACTTTTGAGGCTTGAAAGCTCAGGATTGAGGGCTTCGGGTTCAGGCTAGGTTTCTACCATTTGCTTAAGAACCCCCCCCCCCAAAAAAAAAAAAAAAAAAAAAAAAAAATAAATAAAAAAAATAAATAAATATATATATATATATATTTCTATTTCTATTTATATTTATATTTATATATTTATCAACCTTATAAGGAAGAACATGTTGTGTTATTCGTGGGGTGTTATGCACATAGTAGGTCTTGGGACTTACAGGGCCTTAGAGTCATAGCTGGGGGCGCAGCATCCGGCTCTGTAGCAGACCGTCGTAGGAGCTCCAAGTCGAGGGGCTAAGCCACCACTGAGACCATGGCTCTTGCGTCCACGCAAATGGCTTCGCCGCTTTTGGCCGAGGCGGTGCTGTTGGTTTAGGGTTTCTGAGGTTTAGGGTTTAGGGTTTTGGGTTTAGGGTTTAGGGTTTAGGGTTTAGGGTTTACGGTTTGGGGTTTGGGTTTTGGGTTTTGGGTAGTCTGAGGGTTTGGCCTTTTTTAGGGCTGTGGGATTGAAGGGGTTGAGAGAGGCAGTGGAGGGTTGATGTTGAGGGTCTGCAGGGGCAAAGGGCTTCGGGCTGGGGAGTTTCCGGGCTGAGGCCTTACAAAGCCAGCAAAACTCGCTGCGGAGTCCCTCTTCTGCTAAACCCTATAAACCCTAAACCCTAAGCCCTAAGCCCTAAACCCTAAACCCTGAACCCTAAAGCCTAAACCCTCAACCCTCAACCCTAAACCCTAGACAGAAAGCGATTTGAAATAAGCACATTTTCAAGTCAAAGAAGTGACCACGTGACTTGGGCGGTTTCCAAAAATTAGGGGTACCCTTTTTGGGGGTCCCTTTAAGGGGCGTCCTAAAAGGGGTACTCTGTTGGGAAATTCCCGCAAGCTTACGAATGCGTAACTCCAGACTATTACGTACAAGTATAAACCCCACAAGCCCTTCCCATAGACCCCTAAACTCTGTAAAGCCCATAAACCCTACACACCCCGCAAACCCTACAAAGCCCTATAAGCCACAAGACCTAAGTAACCAGAACCCACCCTAAAACCGCAAACCGATGAAGTCCAAAAACCCAACAACCGTAAAACCCTGAAACCCGAAAACCCTGAAGCCCTGAAACCCTAAAACCCCAAGAATCCTAAAGCCCTAAAACCCTAAGAATCCTAAAACCCTAAGAATCCTAAAGCCCTAAAGCCCCTAAACCCAAAACGCGCCCCGGTGGAGGATGCCAGTGGTGCGCAGCAGGGACAGACGTTCGCCTTCCGTGTGGAGGGAATGAAGCGCCAGGGCCGGAAGAAGTGTCGGGGCTTGGGTTCATACCCTTAAGGCTCTCAAATGTAGTTCTTCTTTGGGTTAGCTATAAGGGGATTCCGGCATACTACCCCCAAAAAGGTACTACACAAAAGCCTTGGGGTAGAGTTGCCAGGATCGGTTTATGGGGTCTGCAAGGTTTAGGGTTTAGGGATTATAGGGTTTGTTTACAGGGTTTATAGGGTTCAGGGTTTTCAGGTTCTGTAGGGTCTGTAGGGTTTCTACTGCTTATAGGATCTTGAGGACTTAGGGTGTTTCGAAGTGGGCTGAGGAGACTGGGGGTTTGGATCTTTCTTTGAGGGGGGGGGGGGGGGGAGTTACATAACAAAGATTATACTATCATGCGGTGTATTCAGGGGGTCCCTTCTTTGCGGAAGTACCCACTTGCAACTTTTTTTATGAGAAAACGTTTTGCATCGAGCTGCCAGTCTTCGCAAGACGCTTCCTGCAATGCGGGGTTCGGCGGTAAGCCCCAGATTGCCGTGCTCGCCGATCAAACGACCATTAGGGTTTAGGGTTTGGGGTTTAGGGTTTGGGGTTTAGGGTTTGGGGTTTAGGGTTTGGGGTTTAGGGTTTACGGTTTAGACCCTTCCCCGCGGCGGCCCGAGAAGAAAGCTCAAGCACATGCAAACACGCCCTTGAGCCACCCTGAACCTCCAATCCAACCAAGAGCTGAACCCCAACACACTAAAGCCTTTCGCCCAGGTGGAAGGGGGGGAGGAGGGGAGGGTTTCGGGTTTTAGGGTTTAGGGTTTAGGGAGGGGGTTAAGTTGCTTAATTCAGGGTTCAGGTTTCAGGGGGAGCGCAGTGCAACCTGCCGATAGTTGGCATGTTCTGGCAACAACCCCTTCGTTGCTATTGACTAAATCAATCTTACTAGTCTGCAACTATAGTTCAATGTGATCACACCCCTCAGAAACTTATTGAAGCTTTAAGGTGTTTCTAAAACTGCGTCTTCCCTCATAACTTACAAGATGCAAGTAAGTCTTGACAACTCCGGTTGGACCTATATCCATGCTCAGATGAAGCCCAAGACAAGACCGGCAAAGACAAACGACCACTTGTTAGGGTTTAGGGTTTAGGGTTTGGCGTTTAGAGTTTAGGGTTTAGGGGGTAGTGTTTAGGGTTTAGGGTTTAGGTAGGGTTGAGGACAACCCAATACAACAGAATCATGAAGCACATGCAAGCCGTTTCTAGTGGGATGTTCCCCTATACAAACAGTCCTCAATTGGGACCCCTTATTGTAATCCCTATTCAGGACCGATAGTATAGGGAGGAACATTCTAATGTTTCCAAACAATGTTCCGAGCACCTCGACTCTGACGATCTAGGGCATGGATGGCATTCGCAGCTCCTCCTCTTCGATCAGATGGATTTTGTGCTACATCATCGTCCTCGATATGTGAGCGGCGCGCCGTTGTCTGAACTCTTTTTGCGGGAATGAAGAGCAAGGCTAAAACTATGCAATTCTTGGTTGTCGCACAGGGCTACATCTTCATTAAGATATTTTGAATGCTACTCTGCCTTGACGTGCTTGGGCCCGAGGCTGTCATCTTTGGACGGCTGCGGGGTGGTCTGGGGCACTGGTGTTCGTTTCTTGGCCATCGGCTACATGATTCGAAGTTGCGTCGCACGGCATCGCTTCTCGTGTCGCCCCCTGTCCTCGCGGATGCAAGCACGAGGCTGAAGCTACCTGCAGCAGAGGCATCCAGCCCCAAAGCAGACTCGTGCAGGAAGCATGACCATAAACAACAAGAGCCTTAAGAACAAATGAATCAATGAGCACTCAGCGAGTTTATGGCCCTAAACCCTAAACCCTAAACCCTAAACCCTAAACCCCAATTCACATACCCTCATAGGAATTCTTTGCCACAGCGCATCCCAAAGCCCCTCATCCCGCCAAGATCCAAGCACCGCAGGTGCAACTCCTGCGCTCGCAAGATCCGCGCAGCGCTACAGGCAGCAGATCTTAGGTCTTTTTAGGGTCGAGGGTTTAGGGTTTAGGGTTTAGGGTTTAGGGGCGGAGCGGAAGTTCCAGGCACAGGGAGGTCTAGTGTAGTCGCATATACTTTTCCCCGGCGCTTAGCCCCACCCCTACCTGGAATCAAGGACCAACTGAACCCTGAAAGGGGAATTACCGCAATATAGGGAAGATGACTCCAATTTTAGGGTTCACTCGGTCCTTAACTTTGTCATAGTGGGGTATCATTCTACACTTTCAAGGGTACTTAAGCTCAATAAGGAGTAGAAGTTTTAAATGTTTAATCCTACCCCAACCATGAACTATACTAAACCCTAAACCCTAAACCCTAAACCCTAGTTAAGGTACCCCAACCTCCGCACTTGGTGAGCACCTGGGCAGGCCCTGCAGTGGCCTTCCATCGCCGACATTGTCGTCGAAGTGCCCAAGGACTTCGTGCAGGTTCCCCGGGGTTGTTCTTGCTGGCATTATTGTTATTCCTGTTGGTATGCTTATTGTTATTCCTATTAATTATTATTGTTATTCCTATTATTGTTATTCTTATTCTTGTTATTCCTGTTATTGTTGGGGGGGGGAGGAATGGCTAGGGGTCTTGTGGTCACGAGCCGCCTGGGGTTTGTTGTGGCTAGCATGTTCACAGCATAACCCTGGTGACCAAATCAACTTAAAAAACTGATGTCGTATACCCGACACTGTCATCACTCCTCTTAGGGTATATGAACCATAAACTTTATGGCTCATTTGGTGAAGGCGTACGAGTAGCTGTTCCCACCATAAAAACACGTCGCAACGATCAACATTTTGACTAAACCCTAAACTAAGCCCTAAACCTAAACCCTAAACCTGCAGCAGGTGCATGTCGCAGACGTTGCCGAAAGGCCAGCTGCAGCATCGGCGGCCATCGTTTCGGCTATCGAGGTTCGTTCACCTGAGGGCGGGTTCCGAAACCCTGAGCCCCAAACCTATGAAGGGGTCGTTCTTCTAAGGGTTCCGTGCTAAACCCGAAACCCTAAACCCTAAATCCTAAACCCTAAACCCTAAACCCTAAATCCTAAACCCTATACCTCTATATATATATATATATATAAGACCCTAGAAGGGACCCTGTTTCAGAGAAGCACCGTATGAAGCCCCATACCGGCCCAGCAGCCGAATTTCCACTGCGGTTTAGGGTTTAGGGTTTAGGGTCATTTAGGGTTTAGGGTTTAGGGTTTAGGGTTTAGGGTTTAGGGTTTAGGGTTTAGGGCTAGGGTTTGGGTTTAGGGTGTAGGGTTTCGGGTTTGGGTTTCGGGTTTAGAGTTCAGGGTTTAGGGAGCCATCAGAACGGCCTTTCTCCACAGCCCTCACCCCCTAAGTCTTGTGCTCCTAATTCGAAACCCCAAAGCCCTAAAACCCTTAACCCTCAACCCTTGGCCCTTGACCCTTCACCCCAAAACCCCTGAGCCCTAAAACTAAAACCCTAGAACCCCATGGCGGCTCCAGAAAGCCATGAAGCTCAACACCCCAAACCCATGCAGCGTCTGGACTTGGTCTCCCGGGCTGATTACTTCGAAAACGGTGATTTTTTTTTTGGGGGGGCGGGGGGGGGGGG